AGTGTGCATAATTGGTATGTAGCCTACATTTCTGCATGTTAGAGTCAGTGTTGGAAGAAGTATTCAGATCCTTTACTTAAGTAAAAGTACTAACACCACACTGTGAAAATATTCCACTACAAATGAAAGTAAAAGTCCTGAATTTTAAAACCTTACTTAAGTAAAAGTACTAATTCCACACTGTGAAAATACTGCACTACAAGTGAAAGTCTTGTAATTTAAACCTTACTTAAGTAAAAGTGCTAATTCACACTGTAAAAATACTCCACTGTGAGTAAAAGTAAAAGTCCTGAATTTTAAAACCTTACTTAAGTAAAAGTATTAATACCACACTGTGAAAATACTCCACTACAAGTAAAAGTAAAAGTCCTGAATTTTAAAACCTTACTTAAGTAAAAGTATTAATACCACACTGTGAAAATATTCCACTACAAATGAAAGCCCTGCATTAGCATAAACTCTTACTGAAGTAAAAGTATGTAAATATTATCAGCTAAATTTGAAATATCAAGTACTTCTTCTGCAGTAACCTGATGCCTGTCAACATTTTACTATTAAATATGATGTTTTTTGACAAGACTGCTAAAATTAACTCCTATAAAACTATGATTTTATGAAAATAAGAACATTTTACAATAATGAGTTAAGTTGTAATACTTTCTTATAATAATACATTATTGTTTCAATTATAAATTTTTACACACTTAATTCATAGGAGTAGTTATTTTATAATGACGGATTTAGTTATTTAATATCAAACTCTTTTGGGCTCCAAAATAACTGTCTGGTTATTAATTTATTTCTTGATTGGGGTAAGCAGATAGTCAAAATAAATGCTGACTGTTTGACAAATTGTTCAGTAGTTATAAATATGTATCCAAAAGTTGATTAACGACATATTCACCTAATACATCCTGACACATGGGTTTCCCCTTCATGGTGCTACATTAGCTGGTTTTGAATAATAAAATTCAGTCAGTATTGGTATCAATATTGATGATTCTGGCCCTAGTATTTCTTGGTATGAGATTGAAAGGAAGTGTTGTGGCAGTGGTTTAGTTATGGTTACGTTAAGCAACAAAAACACTAGGCAAATGTTAAGGAAAGAACATGGTCATGGGTGAAAGTCAAACATTTATTTCAGGTGTACCGTATTTGAACTCTGATTTCCTGCATGAAAGTCAGACGTTCTACTTATCCATCCACCGCCCTAACCTCCATACCCTTATTTTCTGCCTTGCGCAGTACTTTCTGCATTGATCCTGGGCCACTTGGAAAATATATGTTTAGTCATTTTAATTAACTTAAACAGATAATGGCTAATGAGCCTCATATTGGCAGCACTAAGATGGTTTTTCTACTAAAAGCAGCACTCAAGACAAGTAAGTCTGCAATGCCAACATCTCAGAAAGCCCAGACACAAGAAAAAATAAAACCCCACAGTAGGAAGTATTTCCCCTGAGTTCAGCAGGCAGGGGGTGTTGAGTTGGCGTGAATCGTTTCTGTTCAAGCACATTAACCACATCAGTCAGCGCCTGAGAGCTCAGCAGCCCGTATAATCCAAAAACCACCCACCTCACACAAACACTGCAGTCAATACAGCTGATTGAGGGTCAAAAGATTTATTCATTCGGGATTACTGAGAGCATGGGAAAGAAGAGGGGGGTCTATAAATTCGACTGTGGCCGAGGATGATAGACCAAATAAAATAGTTAGTGTTATAGTATTGTAAATTGATTTCACGCGCACACACTGAGCAAATACATGCTTCCTTTCTTCCTCTTCTCTCATCATCTCTTCCTTCTCAGCTTTGACTTCACTGCTGCCAGGAGACGTTAGGCTTTGAGCTGCCTCCTCCTTCACTCTCTGTACTGACGCTTTCTCTGGAGCTGACCGGTGACTATGACATGGAGATAAAGACGTCCTCATGTCTGCCGCACACACTCTCTTTACGCCCACTTTGCAAAAGACAATCATTACAAATAGCTCCTTTATTTAAATAAATCGTTTGATCTTCAGGGAAATACGCACATTCACTTTCTTGTCAAGAGTGAGATGAGAAGTTCAATGTCTCATATGTGTCTGTTAGATATAAAGCTATAGTCAGGAGGCAGTTAGCGTAGCTTAGCGCAAAGACTGCGCTAGCCTGACTCCGCCAAAATCTGCCCATTATTGCAACTCTAATGGTGCCTTCCATTTACCCAAGAAGATGGAGGTCGGAGTTGGGAATGACGTCACACCCGAGTTGATGGCGTTCCAGTAGAACAACAGATTTAAGTCGGAAAACCAAGATCAATGCCTTTGTCCATTACACTGTATTTTGCACACACCGTAGCAACACTTCTACAGATATAAGTTGGACAGGACTGTGTGTATGACTGACTTAATGAGACACATGTAACACAGAAGTTCGACAAACAGTTTATAAAGAGTTTATTACTACAGCGTCCACTACTGTTGATTCCGTTAGCAGCCATCTTGGATTTCGAGGTAGGGGTTGGTGAGGTTCTCCCGACTTTCTGATTCGGAAATCCGACCCATGTCAAATGGAACGCAACATAAAGCTCACTTATTAAGATCTTGGTTAGCTTAGCACAAAGACTGTAAATAGGGGGAAACAGCTAGCCTGGCTATGTTTAAAGGTAACAAAGTCCGCCTTCCAACACCTAAAAAACTCACTAATTAACATGCTTTATCTTGTGTGTTTGATTTGAACAAAATCCTAAACATAAAAACATCATACATTGCACATAACCCGTCATTTTACACTTTTTACACAAACAAGATAGAACAAAAAGCTTCACCTCTGTGCCAGTCTTTGCGCTAAGCTAGCCGGCTTCTGGCTGTAGCTTCATACGTACAGATACAAGAGTGAAATGCAGCATTGTAACATAATTGTGATTGGCCCAGGTGCAAATATTTTTCTTGTGCCCTTCACCCCAAAAAGCACGTTTGTGTACACACGGGCGTACAGACACGCAATGGCTCCACGCAATTGCAAACCTGCAACCATCAACAATGAAATCGCTTTAGCCAGCCTACAGTATGACACAGTATGTCAATCACAGAACAAAAAGCAATCAAGAAAAGCACAGCAACTCATTATGCCTACACAGCCTAAATAAATGTATGGCAACATCTGATCACAACCCACGTGGCAACTGACACTTTTGCTAAGCCACGTCCCCCTTAGTTACTGTTTCTTTTAGCAGGCGCTGCCACAGTCTATTACTGCACTCCCAGGAGAAAGATTGTCTAATTTTTAGAAAAAGCGATCTCAGAAAGAAGCCGACAGTTTTGTAGTTGCATTGTGCATTTGAAAGTTGTATTCAGGCTGTCAAACTGACATGAAAAAAATAAAGACTAGAGAGTAAAAGTGAACATGTAGAGCTGGGTAGGTGTATTCATTATCAGTCAGCAGAACAGTAGGGCTGTATAACGTTACCTTCAGTATTAAGTTAGATAGCGTTAGCTAACTAACATTACATTAGGAACAATCTACAGTCTAAATTATTCTGGATTTGTTTAAGGTTTTGGAAAGAGAATAAATTGTACTTCTCCTTTCAACCTCTCTGGGTTAATGTGATTATTACAAGTGCCCAGTGTTTGACCATATCTTGGAAAAATACAGCAAAAAAAAGCTAGAAAACGACGCCTTTTACATTGGAGTCAATGGAGCGCAGCCACTAAAGTGTTGTCCTAGACTGTGTGTGATTGGCCAGCTGCGTATTCTGGGCGTGGCTCAGCGAAGGGTCAATTATTGTTGTCCATCATGGGCCCTAAGCACTGTCAGCACTTATGCCAATAGTGATATTGACAGCCTATCCACACCTAAAAAACCGGCTGTTTAGGCCAATAATGTAGCAGCTTATTACGATCCATATTTACCTGTTTTGTTAGGCCGCGACCTCTAGTGACAGAAGAAGTCAGGTGATGTAGAAAAAGTGACAAAGTAAACTAAAGACCTTCGTTCAGTCCATTGTCACAGAAGGTCAAAGTTGACATTTTCTAAGTTAAATAACCTTTTGTGACTTACATAATGTACTTATTTTAACCCAAACCACAATCTTTTCTTAAACCTATCCAAACGACGTTCACAACATTAACCACGTGTTAAACATCATGAGATTTTGGTACAACATACATAACATACTGAAGGTCCAGTGCCCCCGCTGCTGGACTGGTACTTGCCAACATGTCATGTTGTAGTTGTAGTTTTTGGACACTTGACAATTTTGCTATTTTGTCGAACTATTCCTTTAAGATTATAGCAAATACAAAATACTGTGACTCCTACTACTTCAAGAGTGCCTTGTGATTCATTATAAGCCCACTGATGTAGTGGAGGGTGAAACACACTTATTTTCAGTCTGCTAAGCTTTTATTCTTAATAATTTGAGCCTGAGAGATAAAAAAAAACTAATTTTATGCTACTGTGGATAAAATATATATGAACTTATTAGCTATGCAGTAAGTTTTGCCCTCCAACAGAATAGGACTGGACAAAAAAAATATTAACAGAACTGAAGTAATGATTTGAATGTTTAAATCAGAGGAATATGAATGAAATTTTTAAAAAACTTTTAAATCTGTCAGATATCTGCATGTAAAATCCTGAATCAGTTGTGTTTAACTTAATAATAAAGTATACTCAAGGTTCACCTGCGATTTTAGGATGAATCTTTCTTAGGTAAACATCATAGTATGTTACTGAAATGACGTCAGCTCTCTGTGAATATGGAATTTTGGGAAAATAAACAAAACGTAAACATCAAATGTATCTGAGCACAGTGACATAAATCACTCAGTCCAAAAATCATGTTTAAGTGATTTTCACTTATTATTTAGAAGAAAAAAATTATATTTTGCGAAATATCAGAAATAATTTAGTTTTTTTAATCTTTTTTTTTAATTTGTTGATAATCACTAGATCTTCTAATAAAAATAATATCACACACACATGAAGAGTGAACATAAGAAAGCAGGAGGTCTGGTCCTACCTGAGGATCTCCAGCAGATGTGATGTTGTTCTTTTTGTCCCGTCAGGATCTGAGCTGCTTCAGAATGACAGAAAGTGAAACGGCAGCAGCTCCGTCTGTCTCAGCATCCAGCATCACCTCACTGCCGCCTCCTCCTCCTCACACAGTGGAGTAAAGCCTCGCTCCGCCTCCCGCCTCTCTCACCCCTTCCTCTCTGTCACTCTCTCTCCCTCCTGCCTCTCTCCATTCTTCTTCTCTCATTCACTTTCCTCCCTATTCTGTCCCTCTCTCCCTCCCACCCTCTCTGTCTTTCTCTCTCTCTCTCCCTCTCTTGCTTTCTCCGTCTCTCACCCTTTCTCCCTCTCTCTCCCTCCCACCTCTCTCTCCCTCTCTTGCTTTCTCCGTCTCTCACCCTTTCTCCCTCTCTTTCCCTCTTTTGCTTTCTCCTCCCCTCTCAGTCCCTCTCTCTGCCTCTTTCTCCTTCTCTCTCCCTCCCACCTCCCGCTCTCTCCCTCTCTCTCCCTCCCACCTCCCGCTCTCTCCCTCTCTCTCCCTCCCTGTCCCTGTCTCTTTCTCTGTCTCTCTCTCTCTTTATCTCTCCCTCCTCTCCCCCACTCTCTCTTTCTTCCTCCCCCCTCTCAGTTTAAGTAAATCAGTCCACCCTCATCTCATCAGCAGAAAGCAAAATGGTGGTAAATACAATTTTGAAGTACTTTACTTAAGTATTTCTATTTTATGCTACTCAAATGTTGTACTTTTTCTGACAGATGTAGTTATGAGTTACTTTTCAGATTAAGATATTACATAAAACACACATAAATAATAAAATGAATTGTTAGAGATAAAACCAGCGGTTCCCACCAACCACTTCAGCTTGTCCATCCATCCATCGTCAACCGCTTATCCTGTGTACAGGGTCACGGGGGGGCTGGAGCCAATCCCAGCTGCCATTGGGCAAAAGGCGGGGTACACCCTGGACAGGTCGCCAGTCCATCGCAGGGCCACAAACAACCACTCACACTAAGGACAACTTTGGAGACACCAATTAACCTTATCCGCATGTCTTTGGATGGTGGGAGGAAGCCGGAGCACCCGGAGAGAACCCACGCGGACACGGGGAGAACATGCAAACTCCACACAGAAAGGTCAGGGCAACCGGGGTTTAACCCACAACCTACTTGCTGTAAGGCGACAGTGCAGGTACACTTGTTAGGGTTAGAAAGAGCATTTTTAAAGCAGGATGATTGGCTTGATGTTCCATTTGAGTGTGTGTGTTGCTGACATGAGGGCCAAGAAGTGGTTATGGGTTCTCCTGAGACATCTATATGGGTTTTGGGGAGAGGAGGGCGGAGGTTTAGTGTCTCCAGGGGGGAGCTTTGTGAAGTCTGATAAATTGCATCTGGTGATGTCACTTGAGTCAGCATTGGTGTAGTCTGAAGGCGACAAGTTTGAAAATGAAAAATGGGGTGTGGAGAACAGTAAAATGCTGCTTAGTATTAACAATCTAATAATGTCGTATTTAATAGTATATCAGTCACAGGGGACATATCTTTTGCAGAAATTATACTTTTAATTGGATACTTTAAATATATTTAGCAGATAAAAATACTTTTATTCAAGTAGGATTTTGAATGCAGGACTTTTACTTGTATTGGCGTATTTTTACATCATCTTTTTATAAATTTTTACATTCCTCTTCCACCATCGTAATCCTCAACAATCACCAGTTTAATAATCAAATGTACTTTTTTTTCCTGTAAACCCACTGCTGCCCTTTTATCTCTGCCTCCCTAACTGTATACATGTGCTACAAAAGAGCTTGTATTCATGCACCATATGGGAATACTTTCTAATAGATCTATTTTTGGTCCTTTATTTTCCCTGAAGCTAAACAGCTGCACTTATTATGTACAATACAATACAAATCTAATAGGTCTGCTGTACCGTGCAATTAGAGACCATAATGATTATGTAATGCTGTTATTCAGCAAACATAGCATAGAGTTCATCTTAAGCCATTTTACATGAACAAAGTTAAACACTGCTGTCACACAGATGTGGGATGTTACACTGACATGTCAGTGTAACATGTCAATACACCTCAGTGTCTGAGGAGCAACTTTAATTTATTGAATTCTGGTTAGTTTGCCCCAGGGGACCACTTTCTGCCCTCCAAAAGGTTCAGCTAAAATTAAACAACTACCAGTCATCCAAAATGTGCAGACGTGGCCGTCCTGCTGTTGCCCTCTTGTGGCTCCTTCATTGTAATGTCTAATAAGTTGCCACGGGCTTCCCTCCTCTCTGCCTGCTCTGTAATTACACTACATTGAACACTTAATTGGCCAAACAGTACGGCGGCTAGCAGATTTGCACAAAACTGAATATTAACTCAACCTTGAAAAAGTGCCTAAACAAGCTCTTGGTGAGCCACAAGACGTCAAGAGGGGGTCATCTCATGCAACAGAACATGGATTTTAATTTGGGTTTCCTTAATTAAAGGCCACAGCATGGCATTTTCTCTGTCTGAAAGTCAGGTTTAGTGAGGTTTAGTTAGTAATTTGACATGCATCTTCAGGCCCACCAAACAGGAAGTAATGCAGGATTGCAAAAATAAAGTAAAACAGCACACTGTAGTGCCTTTTAAAGATACTTGAAATTTTAAATTAAAAAAAAAACCTCACAATCCACCATATTTTTTTCAAAAGTTACAAAGTGTTTCACACAAACAAATATATTAAAATCAACTCACTACAAAATGACAGCGGTGGAAGAAGCACTTGTGATTGCAGAATTTTTTTTGCCTTTTAGTCTTTTATGCATGTACTTTAATAATTATTGTTACGTCTTATATACATTGTTTGTATCCTTAACCTCTTCTCTTATTTTTATGCTCATTATACTAGTCTAACCACTGGTTTGTTGTATCTCAATTAATTGCTCAATCCCTCATCAGGAATATGCAATTTCCACAACAGTACTCATACAGTAGGCTATAGTATTTTACTTAAGTAAATGTAGCAATACTAAAGTGTAAAAATAAAAAATATATGTTGAATATTTTTGGGCTTTCGACTGTTGGTCGAACAAAATGAGCAATTTGGATATGTCACATCGAGCACTTTTCACAGCTTTGACATTTAGACAAAACAATTAGTAAATTGAAAAAAAAATTGACAGATTAACCAACAAAGAAAATTATTTTTAGTTGCAACACTTTACTTTAAGCTCTCCCTATTCGCATTTATTATCCGTCCATCCATCCATCCATCGTTAACCGCTTATCCTGTGTACCGGGTCGCGGGGGGCTGGAGCCAATCCCGGCTGCCATCGGGCGAAAGGCGGAGTACACCCTGGACAGGTCCTGCATTTATTATATGAACATTTAATTTATAACAGACGGTGTTGTTGTTTTGACCACAGATGAACCAGTTTAATTTAAATTCAAGTATTAGCTTGATGTGTTTCATATCTGATTCTTTCCTCATATATTTACATTAAGTGCCAGTTTTATGTGCCAGTTATGCAAACACATCATTAATGACATAAGCCAAAGAAGAGACCTGCGTATCCACTGTGCCTCAGCACTGCCTGTCTGTATTAACTTGATAAACTGCACAGTAAGTAGAGGCAGTGCTCTGATGGATGAATGATGTGATGGGACCAGATTTGCAAATTATGCAGAAGTGCTTCAGGGATATAACTAGAGTTGTGTTTGTACAGTGAAGAGAATGGTCAAAGGGCTGCCCGTCGGCAAGTATTCGCAAACACACAGATGTGAGTGTGTAATTACAGGGATAAACATAGCAGGCATGCTTATGAGGGTAAATTAACTTTTAACACGCTGGCAGGTTAGGTTTAACCAATGTCCAAACATGAGGTCCTCATCTTAGAAGTGGAAACATACGTAATTTTCTCTGTCCTGTAAAAAAAACAGCTCAAACATTTCCGACCGCCTACTACAAAAAACTACAATGGGACGCCTCTAAAAGTCAAAGTTCCTACTTGTGATCTCGGGGCAAATCCATCTACCCTGACTTCAAGAAGAAGCAGCAGTCTGACATCGCACAACAATGGCAGCGCACCTGGAAGAGCATATTAACTTAACTTAACTAAAAGGCAAAGTTAAGTATATTTACCTGTATTTAATAAAATAATCATATGTTATGGTTATGTAGCTGGTTTACAGTAAACAAGCTCTGAAAGTCATCTTCTCTGCACAAAAGTGCATTCTTGTACCACTCTCCAGCCCTTTGGTGAACAAACTGCCTTCTGCTGCAGCTGAGTATTTAAAATTTTGACTCATCTGTACAGAACGCCTGCTGCTATTTTTCTGCACCCCAGTTCATTTGTTTCCATGCAGAGTTGAGTCACTTGGCCATATTTCTATGCTGGAGATATAACCTTTTTAGCTGCAAGTCTTCCATGAAGGCAACTTCTGAGCTTGGACAGCACATCTGGAAACACCTGTGTGCCTTGAAATGTCTGCCCGGGAGAGACCCTGCTGATGCAGTATAACTACCTTGTGTCTTGTTGCTGTGCTCAGTCTTGCCGTGGTTTATGACATTTGACAGTAGACTGTCTTCAGCAGCCTCACCTTGTTAGCTGAGTTTGGCTGCTCCTCACCCAGTTGTATTCCTGTTTCAGTTAATGATTGTCTGATCTTTTTTATTTATTTCATTCTTGCTGTTTTTACCCTTACGCTGTTTTATCTTGTGTATCTTATCTTGTGTCTTCAAGTTTGTACTCTTGTATTTTATCCTGTGTATTTTTTTTGGGACCATGCTGCATGGTGATTTTGCACTGTAAAGAAATATCTAATTTGATTTGATTTTGATTTGATTGTGTTTCAGCCTGCATGTTGAAGTGGTGATCATTAACACCTGTTTGGTTTAATTGTTTAATTATACATCTGATGATATGCCTACAAAATCCCTGACTTTGTGCAAGCGTACCTAGACGAACTGATGCTGTTATAAAGGCAAAGGGTGGTCACACCAAATATTGATATATGATATGGTTTTCACTGGACAATTTGGTATTGAGTATTTGCATTTTTAGGGGTGGATAAGAAATAACCAGAGTAATAAAAGACCAGCAGGAGAGAAAACAGAGCAGGGGAAAGACGGGGAAGCATGGTTAATGACAAATGACAGATAAATGTCAAATTCATGACCATGCATG